ACCTACTTATTTTTGCATTTATCTCAACCACTACACGATCATATTTATAGTTTCTATCATCTCACTCCTTGTATTGTACTTAACTATTTCCTTATCAGGGCAAATGGGAGTTGAGGTAACCGTGGCTGGTTTGTTTGTAAAGCCAGATTAATGCAAATGGATAGCTTCTCTTGTTTTATGGATTTTCTGACTGATGATAATAATTTGGTTAATTCCAGTCAGCATTCCGCTCTGTCCAGGCCTGGTGTACACAGCTTCTAGTGTTAGATCACAGACTCCAAGCTTGACCTCTTGGTTTGAAGTTTTGTGTGTAAACAGCGCTAAAGCCGAATGTCAAGGCCCACAGTGGAGGGAATAAGGACCTCATTGTGTTGGCACCCTGGCCTCTCTAAGAGGACATCGCCCACACTCAGGGCGGTGGCGCCCTTGTACTGACCGTGGGAGTCTGCAGGGCCACATGTGCACGTTTGTTCTGGTGCAGCTGCAAGATGGTCACTGATCAAACGCTGCTGTTCATGTCTGAAAGCTCAGATTTTAATGTCAGTGTCGACAGAGGAGCTGCAGATAAAGGGGCTGGTTATCAATAAATGTGGCACAGTCCTATATGAGTCATTTTGATCAAATCCAGCAGATTTAATTTCTTGCTGGAGTAATTAGTTTTAGAGCTCACCTTTGTGTAATTTAAGCTCAAATTAATAGGATCAGAACTTTTTTTGTTGAAAATACTGATGCATAGGACAGGGGTTAGATGAGACCAAAACCAAATTTATGTTAAGTGTAAAACAAACTACCACATGTCACCACAAATGCACCCTCCCCATCAGGAATAGAGGGATCAAGACCCGTCTTGGCTTCAGATTTTTTATTTTTATTTTTTTTTAGTCTCGGCCTCTGAATGTGATGCCTTGATCTTGAGCTCGATCACGTATTGTTCGGCCTTTAAAAATTGGATAGAGGCTGGTTTGAGACCCTGTAGTTTATTTTAAAATCAAACACGATTTAATGAAAAAACACACAAAACAAAATAATCAATTAAACTGAATGTGTAAAAAAGCAAAAGAAAAAAATGTAATGAGAGCATAGCTGCAGGCTGCAATCTGAAGTAAAAAAAAAAAAAACTATTGTTACAGTGAACTCCTGTAATGTAGCACCAGATTAGTTTGTGTCATGTGATGCTTGGCAAAACAGCATATTTGGGTTGATGTAGTCCAATAAGTTATGACGTTATTGTTGAAATGCAAAAATTGATTTGTATAAAAAACTTAACATTAACCGAACAAGATGTTTATTAATTTTTACAGTCTTTTTTTAAAGAATTCATATGACATGGAAGCTAAACTGGTAAATTCAATATAGAAATTGTCTATCAGTGTGTGGTTGCATTCAATAAATAATCAGTTTATGATGATTTAAATACCAAGAAGTAGTTTTAGTTGAACATTTAATCTGGTTTATTTCATTTTTTTGCTTTAAATTGTACTTTTTGTTTAAAAAAAATATATATATATTTCTAAAGATTCAACTGTTTTTGCCACTGATCTTGGTGAGTCCTGTCTTGGTCTTGGAGGGTGTCCAGTCTTGTAATCTTGGTCTTGGAAGAACCAGACTTGACCCCATTATGAAGCATAGTATTGGTAGCATCATACTGAGGGGATGCTTTCCTTGTTGAAGGGATTTGGTCACTTATGGTCACTGCTATGGCACAAGTAGACATGAAAAAAGGTCATTTTTTGTATAAAACTAATGTAATTAGCTGAGTGCATTTTTACTCACTTTTTTTTATTTAGGTATTAGATCTACAACAAGATGTGCCACTTTAATAAAAAGCACTTTTTCCAAATACTCCCTAACAGGTTTAAAGAGAATAAAGTAGGATTTGAAAGACAAAATCCGTGTTGATTTGAAAGAAACAGCTCAATTAACCATTCATTTTTCTCAAAGATGTCAAATAAATAAACAGGAAGTCTCTTCCTAAGTGAGAAATTTGGAGATTTTCTACCAACTCTCATCTCCAAATCCAATATGGCCACTCCTGTTTAAATCGTAGCTGTAGCTCCGATGATTAACTTTTAACTTTCACTTCTAAATCTTTGGATGTCATTAATCTTTCCCACATGCTTATGTGTAAAAATATTTTACTTAAGTAGCCAAAGTAAGAATTCTTTATAGGTTTTTAAGACCATTACTGAATTGTGTAACCATTATTTGATTTTTTTTGTTTTAAAGAGACAGCCCCCCTTTTGCCTACTTAAGATTTTTAATCAGAAGCTGTAAGGAACACCTTTCAATTTTAACCTTATTTTAAATTGGTTTAAAGATCACTTCAATAAGGAAACTGAATGGGTTTTTTTGTATAAATATGCAGTCATCAAGTTAGCCAAAAAAAAAGACTTACTTATTGGTAAATGTTTAAATTGGCAAATCAAAGTTTTATATATATTCATATATATATATTAATCTTTCTTGTTCACATTTATTTATTCAGGGTAATCCCACTGAGACATGGGTTCTAATTTTTATCATTTTTAAAGGTATTTGTAAAGGAATCAGGATAAAACATATCAAATTTTTAAAGTTTTGATCTTTAAAAAAGGTTAACGCGAGAATTTTTTCCCATACGATATCATCTTTTTATCCAAATTTTAATTAACCCTCTTCCAGACTTTTCAAGACTAGGTGAACCATGTAACTAGTAGTGCTGCCCCTCCCTTACCTGTTGCTGTGCAATAACAGTCAACCTGCTAAAAGAAAATACCAGAATACCAGACAGATCTTTATCTTCTCTCACAAAAGGCAATTTTTGTAGAACAGATTTTGATGTAATGGTTGTTCTTAGGACTATGTAAAGTCAAAATAGCAATAAATCCATGTGTACATAATTATATTATAAACATAATCATCAATATGCTCTATTGTTTAGCATCAGTGAGTATAATTGTTGTTTGTCTTTGTTTTGAAAAGATCTTGCTATGCAAATTTGGCTTACGTTAGTAGTCTTGAAATATTCCGCGTAGTAATTTCTATTTTGAATACTTTCTATTAAAGGTGAAAAACATTTTTGATGTTTTTGATTTAATTCTACATCAGTCATTTGTTCTATATTTGTGAATGGTCAATAATAGCATTTAAATCATGTATTTATTTGAGAAAATGTACAGGGGTAACAAATAAGGTCAGATGTAGAAACTGGTCCACTAGAATTTCTTGTCCATTCATCAATCCTAAAATTTACAGCTATTTTCTTTTCCTTATGTTTGATCAGTATCATGTTTTTTTTTCTTTGTCTCAGTGGAGCACACAGGGGAAAAAAAAGCTTTTGCTCAACTTTGTTTTGAAAACAGTGACATTTTCTGTCAGACTGTGCAGAGAGGGAACAAATATTAGTTAAAAAATCTTTAATTTGTGTACATTTTGCTCAGATAAACTTCCTGTGCAGTTACATGCAGCTTGCAGTTAAACTGCTACAACTTACTAACTTCCTTACTCCCTGAAAAGACTGTAATTTTAACTGAAAGTATATTCAGTAACGTTTTTCTGATCTTGTGTTTTATTAACTAAATTCATGGATCAGAATAATTGCCACATGATCCAGTTATGTTGGCCTAATGTTGAGCTAATAAAAGCTAGAAAAACTGAAGCTGCCAGCTCTATAGCAGATGACTGGGAAAGAAGCGAGACATATTTACGACTGTAGCTGATGAAAAACAGGGAAGATGGAACAGATGGACTGTGGGACACTGCTGCAAGGTGATTAATGTAGGAGAGCTAGAAATGTGTGTTTGCAGAGTTGGGCGGAAGGGAAGCCGGCCAGTTTCCTTCAAGTCTGTTTACAAGGAACTTTCAGCTCGCAGGCAGCAGACTGTTAACTTCTGCAGAATGTTTAAGGGCTTTACAGACTCCTCTGGGCCTGTACCTACCTTGTAAACAGGCCTGCCTCATCAGCTGATGAGAGAAGGGAGGGAAACATAACAAAACAAACCTTGCTTGCATTCCAATTAGCGTGGGATGAGGCTTTAAAACCCACAGACATGAGAGTCAAAGCAAATGAATGGTTTGGAACATTGTTTCCTGTTAAAGCTGGGCTCTGAATTCTCTCCCTCTCTTGCCCGTTCTATTATTCCACGACTGTTTTTCTTTATTTAACTTCATTTTGAATCTAAAATCATGGAATGTGCGATGCATTTAAAACTTTAGAAGATAACATAGTTAACTGTTACAAAGAATCTAGGTGGAATCTTTTCCGATCTGATCTATAATAGGTGTGCTCAGCAGTTGCCTTGTAGTCTGGCCTAATCTTTGTGATTTATACAAGAATGTAGGTCAGGTCACACAGTCAGTGTGCATCCATATGGCTGAGTTAATTTGGACAGTGCGGATGCTTTGTCCTCTCAGCTGGTGTAACCCGGTTTTGGTTGTGGTTTTGAGGACCCCAATGCAGAGGCAGAGGTGAGCTCTTGTAGGCTTAATGAAGTATTCACAAGCAACAGAGTTAGGAATCCAAAAATCCAACATGAAAATGTAAAACAAACCAGAACCATGGAGACATCAGGGGAAACATGCACGAGGAGGCAGGGAAAGACGAGGAACCAGCACTGAGGAACTGCACAGGGAGAGTATATATGGGAGACTGAACAAAGACAGGAATAATGAGCTGATTGGGAGCAGGTGTGAACAGAGGATTCTAGAAGGAGCTAGGGAAAAGGAGACCAACACAAGAGGGCAACAGAGGGCAAGCAAAGAAAAACCTAAGAACTCAAATACACCCAGAAAACACCAATAACGCTAGAAAAAATAGAAAAACATGGATCAACGTGAAACTGAAAACTCACAGAAAACTTAACAATACCAGGACCGTGACAAGGGCACACTCCATTCTCATACTTTTTTTTTTCTACATTTGACCGTTTGCTTTCTTCAGACAAAAACATGTTAAACAAATACTCGTCCTCTGTCTGCTTCCAGATGTTTTACCTTCTGGATGCTTGTTTCTTCTCTTTCAGTTTACGTTTAAGGTGCGATCCATGGGTTCGCTCTCGCTCGCCTGGGTGGGAGACAAATCAGGGGTAAGTTTGCTTAAATGTGTTAATATGTAGGTAAAATGAGCTCTACTTTTGATTTTTGATGGAAGAAAAAAAAATAAAATAGATATTTTTTATACTCAATAAAAGTTAAAGATTTAAAAAATGTCTCTTAAATACTGTACAGACCAAAAGTTTGGACACACCTTCTCATTCAAAGAGTTCATTCAAGACTATGAAACATGTAGTTTCACACTGTAGGCATCAAAAAGGTGAATTAACACATGTGGAATTATATCCTTAACAGAAAAGTGTGAAACAACTGAAAATATGTCTTGTTCTAGGTTCTTCAAAGTAGCCACCTTTTACTTTGTTTACTGCTTTGCACACTCCTAGCATTCAAGAGGTAGTCACCTGAAATGGTCTTCCAACAGTCTTGAAGGAGTTCCTAGAGATGCTTAGCGCTTGTTGGCCCTTTTGCTTTCACTGCAGTCCAGCTCACCCCAAACCATCTCGATTGGGTTCAGGTCCGGTGAATGTGAAAGCCAGGTCATCTGGTGCAGCACCCTATCACTCTCCTTCTTGGTCAAATCGCCTGGAGGTGTGTTTGGGGTCATTGTCCTGTTGAAAAATAAATGGTGGTCCAACTAAATGTAAACCAGAAGCAATAGCATGCCACTGCAATATGCTTTGGTAGCCATGCTGGTTCAGTATGCCTTCAATTTTGAATAAATAACCAACAGTGTCACCATCAAAGCACCTCCACACCATCACACCTCCTCCATGCTTCACAGTGGGAACCAGGCATGTGGAGTCCATCCGTTCACCTTTTCTGTTTTGCACAAAGACACAATGGTTGAAACCAAAGATCTCAAATTTGGACTAAGACCAAAGCACAGATTTCCACTGGTCTAATGTCCATTCCTTGTGTTCTTTAGCCCAAGCAAGTCTCTGCTTGTTGCCTGTCCTTAGCAGTGGTTTCCTAGCAGCTGTTTTACCACAAAGGCCTGATTCACACAATCTCCTCTTAACAGTTGTTCTAGAGATGTGTCTGCTGTTAGAACTCCGTGTGGCATTGACCTGGTCTCTAGTCTGAGCTGCTGTTAACATAAGATTTCTGAGGCTGGTGACTCGGATGAACTTATCCTCTGCAGCAGAGGTGACACTTGGTCTTCCTTTCCTGATTCGGTCCTCATGTGAGCCAGTTTCTTTGTAGATCTTGATGGTTTTTGCGAATGCACTTGAGTCCCCTTTAAAGATTTGCCAATTTTGCGGACTAACTGACCTTCATTTCTTAAAGTAATGATGTCCACTCATTTTTCTTTACTTAGCTGCTTTTTTCTTACCATAATACAAATTCTAACATTCTATTCAGTAGGACTATCAGCTGTGTATCTGACTTCTGCACTACACAACTGCTGGTCCCAACCCCATTTATAAGGCAAGAAATCCCACTTATTAAACCTGCTAGGGGACACCTTTGAAGTGAAAACTATTTCAGGTGACGTCTATTTCAGGAAGTATATTATTCCACATGTGTCAATTCATAGTTCTGATGCCTTCAGTGTGAATCTACAATTTTCACAGTCATGAAAATAAAGAAAACTCTTTGAATGAGATGGTGTGTCCAAACTTTTGGTCTGTGCTGTAAAGTAAATTAAAGTTTGCTGTTATAATGCAAAATACTCTAGAATGGCTATTTCTATAGATATAAATCAGTGTATGAGAGCCTTTTATTCCTTCCTTTCACAGGTGGTCTTGGTGCTGACCACATTTCAGGTGCCGTTTTTCCTGATGCGATTTGGCCAGTCTAACCTCTACAGGAGGTGAGGAATGGATTCTTTAATAAGGAAAGGTGGGTGTTTAAGTGTTGCTGTGTGGCTAAACCACAGTTTCTCTGTGTGTGTCAGTGAAGACTACGGGAAGACGTTTAAGGATGTGACCCATGTGATCAACCACACTTTCATCCAGACAGAGTTCGGCATCGCCATCAGTCCGGATCATTCAGGGAAGGTGAGGCCATCATGTTTTCTCTAGATCTCAGGACAATGTGTGTCTAAAGTCATAGATTCAAATGATACTTTTCTGGATTTGCTGCACGTTTTTTTTTTTTTTCTTCCCCGGATTCAGGTGATCCTGACTGGTGATGTGTCTGAGTACGGTGGCTTTCGACTTTTTCGCTCGAGGGACTTTGGCCTGACCTTTGAACCGACAGACCTGCCGTTTGTGCCCCTTATTCAGATGCTGTACAACCCCAGAGACTGCAACACCCTTCTGACGCTCAGTTTCACGGTAGCAGCACTCAAGTCTGCCCAGATTATTTTGTTTTATTGCAGCTCAAGCTGAAACTCTGCTAAATCACCTACATACTCTGAGTAATTAATCCACAGTCTGATCAACATTAGCTATGAGGAAGATTTTCTTTTCTACCCAGTTGGACCTGTGGCTGTCTGAGGACTTTGGCGCCACCTGGAGGAAAATTCACAAAAGTGTGTGTTTAGTCAGATGGTGAGTTAAGTCTCTCAAAATAAAACTTTTTACCCTAAAGCTACTGCAGTATTTCTCTCCATTCAAGCACTTTGTATTTATGTTGTTAGTTATTTTCGATTTATTTCAGTTTATTTACTTAGTACCAGTTTGCTGGTTTAGGTTCTCAGTCATCCAGGTCATAGTCATTCCAAAAAACAAAATTAAAAACCATCCCATCGACTTATTTTTCCAAGTTTGAAGATGATTCGCTTCCCATTCAGAAAGCTTTTTCAATTCAAAATGTCAGCAATAGCGTTGAGTTTGATGTTTTATGATGGGCTACTTTATAAAATCTCAAACTCGTCTCTATTTCTGACATTTTGAATTGAAAAAGCTTCCTGGACGGGAAGCGAAACATCTTCAAACATGGAAAGAAAGTCCAGTGGATTGTTTTTAATTTTCTTTTTTGAATTAGTACCAGTTTAAAATACAAATCAACAAAACAGCTTTTTACAGAGTTAATTCAATCAAATAATACAAACAGATTATAAAATCTTTCTATTAATAGAAAAACTTGCAGATTGATTCCAGTCATTATCGTTCAGAACTATCTCCTCCTGGAAAAGCTTGTAGAGTGAGTGTATAGTTGCTTGCAGTGGGTTGTTAACTTTGAAGCAATCTCTTCTACCAAGCATGCGTAAGGTCAAAGTGGAGAGGAAAACTCCTCTTTAGCGAAGAAAAAAAGGTACTAAAAAGGCTTGATGAAAAGTAAAATCTAGTGTCAAAGCATTTCCAGTTTTAGTTTCATAATTAAATTTTTCTGACATCATCATCCCTACGGCGGCAGCTAATAGTTATTTTAGTAATTGATGCATCTATTTTTTAGGCTCTAGAGGCCAGCAGGACCGGGACTTGCTACAGCTGGCATATGGGTTATGTGCCTACCACCAATTATTTTTTCAATTAATATACTATTAAGAAAAGGAAATACTCTCAGTAAATTAACATTTCTTATTAAATCAAACTTTTGAATTTGGAGTAAAAAAACTTTTATTGGGTATTTGATATTAATTGCAAACATATGTTTAACATATGTGTAAATATATATATATATCTAAAAAACAAAGTTTTTTTTATCTTAAATGGGAAATGTTTATATTTGTTTATTTATTTGTTGTAGTTTCTTTAATCAAATGGCCTCTTTTAGAGTATGAGTACCGTTGCTCTAGGTCAGTGCTTCTCAATTATTTTCTGTTACTCCCCCCTAGTAAGAAGTAAAACTATTTGCGTCCCTCACTCCCCACCGTGACTATCCATCTCTGCATAACATTTTATCCTTATTAACATTAAAGAAAAGAAAAAAAAGAAAGACAATCTGCGGCTTGATGGTTTACTGTAGTAGGCATCACAAAGCTGGATGACTGTTGGCAATATTCAGCACGTTTTCGCTGAAAAAAACTCTAGCGGCTTATCAGCGTGATTGGGGTGTAACATATTTTAGATGACGCGCTAATTAATTTGGCTTTATGCTTTCCGCTAGTGATGTTATGAGATGAGCCGAGGCTTCGAGGCGTGTGTCGAGTATTGGAGGGGGCGTTTCCCCGAAGCGCGTGTCGAGGAGTGATTCATTTAAGGGGGGGCCAACATTGATGACGTCCGAGGCCTCGCTGCCGTGATACCACGTGGACGCTTCGTGAAGTGGTTCGGGGAGCGTAAGAATTTTGACAGGCATCTAAACAGCCTCAGTGTTCAGTCAAGATGTGGGAGTTTGGAGGAGAGCTGCTGTCAGCTGGATAAAGTTTGGATAGATTCTAAGAATAGATTGGTTGGGAAAACAACCAATCTAGTTGGTTAAATTTAATTTGGTTAGAATAAACAATGTAATGATCAAAATCTGAGGAAACCACCGGAAAATGTCAGTGTTAACACGCCACTATTAACTAGTATTTTCCTCCCTACTATGGTTATCTAGTATATAGGTGGCCTTATCTGTAAGAGACAGGCTGTCCCCCTCTAGAGGTTGATGGTTCAAGACTTGTCTTTGACATTTGAAAGTTGCAATTAAACTTAATTATTTTGGCTGATGAGACTAATTTACATTGTTTTGCCTGAGTAAAAACATAGATTGGGTAAATTAGGTCGTTTTAGCCAAAAGATTGGTTGAACACAACTTCTAACCTGATTAAAACCAAAAAACGTGGAAAAACTATCATGTTTGAATAAAAATGACTAACACCTTTCATTTTGCTCATCATTGCCCAATTTGCGCAAACACTTTCACTGTCTGCTTGAGTTTATTTCACTAAAATGGCAGAAAAACTTTGCACCTTAAATGATTGTTCTAAGAAATTTTACACTTAAAAAAATGACAGAAGATTTTATTATACACACCAACAATTAACAATTTCAAAGGAACCTAAAAGGGGAAAAAAAGAACAGTTGCAAAAAAAAAAAAACAAAAAAAAATCACAGATTTTATTACAAACTGTAGTTCTGCTGTCCACCAGTAGGTGGTGACATGTTCACATGAAGCCTCATGAACTGTGGGGATCGTTTAACCAATTTGGCCAAACGGTTCAATGCCTCATGAGGCATCACTACTTTCCGCTGTGAGCATTTTTAGACACCAAACTGTCTCTTCTCCAACTGTAGTCACAGTGAAGCCAAGCTCTAAATACGCATCATCGTATTTACTCGTCTTAGCTTTCGGGTGACTTTCTTTTGTCTCATTATCTTTGTCTCTCTCCACTTTTCTTTTCATCCCTGTTAAAAACTTTTTCATGTTGGGGGTTGTTATGTTGAATAACAGAGGCTATAGACAGAACGCAGTCAGAGCTTTCTGTTGACTCAACACTGCTAACCAAGGCAAACATGTTGTCTTGTAAGTTGGAAAATGTTGCACTGTTGCAATGACTTAAATAGTTGATAAATACAATTTTGATGTTAAGGCTATTCTAACAGGTATTTAAAAGAAAGAATGTCTTTTAAATTTCTTCTGAGACCTTTAATCTTAATTTATTTTGTTGAGATTGTATGTAGCAGAAAATGATTTGTGTTTTTTAAAGTTTATCTTTACAAATTAAAGTCTAAAAGTGTAGCCTACATAAATAACATGCTGCTTGATGGAAACCTAAAATATCAGCTTAAATGAATAACCACCATGTTGCATGGTGGTTGCAGCATCACGCTGAGGGAATGTTTTTTTTTTTTTTAAACAGGAAGTGAAGGTGATTATGGTCATAGACACTGTCTGTTTAATAATAATAATAATAATAATAATAACACTTAAACTTCATGAACATGATACGCTACCCTGTGTTAGACATCACATAAAATGCATTGCTTATAATAGGAATTCTATTGCTAAGTTTAGTGGAACAAGTTTCAGTTGCAAGTTTGATATCCCTGCTTTACTTCCCTTTGTAGCCAGGTCAGTTAAATACTGGCACTGTCCACTATTGCTTATTGCATATTACTTACTTTAGATCAGGAAATTAGAGTTTTCTAACTTTTCAGGGTTTCATTATATCACTAATATAAAACAAAATACGGATATTAGAAGCTAATAAAGAAACATTTAATTAAAATAATGACTTAGACAGATTTTATTTTTCATCTTGTTTACACCAGTGTAAAACAAAAAGAAATTTCATTTGGAACAGCTCTCTGGACAATTTCATCTTTTTTTAAAAGCGCAGCTTTGAAACATAGTTAAAAAAATAATTAATTATATACATATATATATATATTTAAACGGTAATAATGAGCCAAATATATTAGTTATTTTTTTTATTTTTATAAAAAGATTAAAATGAAGAAAAGTCATAAATGAGGCCAAATAGTTAAAGAAACTTCAGTGAACAAAAATGTTCATATTCAAAACGAAGTGATACAGAAATATATTTCAGTATAACTTCTTCCAGCTGTTTTTCTTCAATAAAATAAGATTTTCTTTAATTGTATGTTTTGTATGTTGGAAAATATTGTTTACAGCTTAAAAAAACGAAATAATCTCTTGGCTCTTGTACGTCATTCCATACTAACTTTATTCAGAAAGCAATTTTAACAACCATAGTACCTGTGTTGTACAGTTACAGACAATTTAATAGAAAATGAAAATGATAAAAAAAAACCATATAAAACCTATTTAAACATTCCAAAATTAAAGTAAAAATCTAAATCTTAGATGGTGTCTAAAGCACTGTATGTAGAAAAATGTCTCTATACCGGTACAAGAAGAGAAACAAATATTAGCACAGATGCGGACTATTTGAAAGAGAGGGAGATTTATTTATTCATGTTGCGTCCTGTTTTGCAAACTTAACTCTGGTGGGGAAAAAAAACAACAACAAAAATAAAATGCTGGAAATGAATTCCCAGAGCTAGATACCAGCCCAACATATTTACTTTCACAAGTAGACCATTATGGTGAATGCATAAGGTTTTGAGTGGTAATTTTGTATGACACTTTATCGGAAATAGTTAAAAGGAATAAAAAAATCTTATGTAACAGAGCCAGAAAGGGAGTTGAGGAAACTGAAAAGGTGAAAAAGAAAGAGATGAATAAAAAAAGCACCACATACCTGCCACAAGAAGAGTAAATATCCCTTAGAAACCCAGTCAATACTTGTATAAATGAAGCAAACTTATAAAGATTACACGGTATTGTTCGACCCCAGAAGCTATTGTACTGAGGCCCCGCTGATGACGTGGTTAAACATAGACTCTGTGTATGCATCTTGACCTTCTATCTCTCCGGTTCTTTTCCCTCAAAAGAGATCACTTGGGACAAACTCTTTAAATAACACTTCATAACATGTATGTATTATTTCCAAACTGCTGCACCCCCTCTGAAAGACATCTGCAGTCTACCTGCTCATATCATGTTGTCTTTTCTATGAATGAGCATCGTATTTACTGGTGATTCTACTGAGTTTTTCTCAGTAGTCAGGCAGGGATTGTTACTCAGCTCGGCCACCGCAGTCATGTTGGGTTTTAGCCTTCAACCGACCTCAGAGATCAGAAGCTGAGGTGGTTCTCAGGCTGAATCATGACTCAGAAATTTCCTTATAACCTTGGCAGTGCACGATCCGGCAGGAATGTAAAAACTGTCAGTCCAGTCGAGCAGCTGTGCTTGGAGTGCTGCCTTCAAGGATCACATAAGTTCATTGATAAAACCATCACATTTTTACTAAAAAATCTACTTATATCTTTACAGGGGGCCAAGAAACAGCATCTACTTTACCACCATCACCAATGGAACATGCAGTAAGACAAGATGATATAACCCCACAACAGCACACATTTTTGTTTAAATTGTTAGAATAATTCCTTCTGCTTTCAGATGACAAAGGGATGCTAGATTTAAAGAAGACCATCGACTACGGCAAAACCTTTCGCACAGTTGCATCCAGAGTTTACTCCTTTGTCCTCGGAGGGAAATTTGTCTTTTCCTCCATCATGACAGGAGCGGTATGTGTGCCTTTTTTGTAACATTTACTTTGAAGGGATACATTTTAGGCTCATCATGGGTTTTCAGGGTTCCCGCGGGTCCTTGAAAAGTCTTAAAAGGCATTGAATTCTTCAAAATAAAACCAAGGCCTTAATTGGTATTAAAATGTCTTAAATCAGTCTTTCGTGGGTCTTAATTTTTAAAACCTCATAAAAAGGAATATTTTTATTATGATTTATTTTTGTAATCTAAATAAAACATTAAAATTTACCTTTTTTTTTTTTATTTAAGAAAAGATAATGGCTCGCCATTATTGGTTCCGTCCCGATGGCGGAACCAATAAAAGTGTTGTTCCGGCCGGGACATTTGGGAGATGCTGCAAAAAAGACTTAGCACTGGTTAACAAAGTTTGTGAATTCAGTTAAATAATTGTTAACATATATCTGCCATTTGTGTGTTTTTAGCTTTCTACCTGTATGGGAAGCTGTTCAAAATTTGAAACATTAGTGCAGTGGTTTATGTGATAATAAACCTTTGGGTTAAGTTGACGCAAGCAGGTTTTTCTTGTGTTTCTTGTGAATTCGGTCTTAAATTTTTATTTCAAGGGGCATTAAAAAGTCTTAAAAAGCCTTGAATTTAACTTGCCTTATGCTGTAGGAACCCTGGTTTTATATTAGAAACCTAAACAAAGTAGCGTATCTGGTGTTTTTTTTGTGTGTAGGGTACAGAGCGTGTGATCCATATCTCGGTAGATGGAGGGGAGCACTGGAACATCGCTCAGCTTCCTGCTGTCGACCATCAACGGTTCTACTCCATCCTCACAGCCAATGAGGACATGATCTTCATGCATGTGGACGACCCTGGAGGTCGGCAGTGGTGACCCACCTTTGACGATGATTCTATCAAAACATGTGGACTTTGTCTTTGATTTCTGATTATTCGGATGAATAATCAGAGTTCCTGAATGTCAGATCAGTTGTCATCCTTTCTATCTCTGTTTAAAGCAGCGCCCTTTATAGTATGTCTGTGCGTTTATGTTCTGTTTGGGGCAGACTCTGGTGTTGGAACCATCTATGTGTCGGATGACAGAGGAACTGTATTCTCCAAGTCACTGGAGCGCCATCTCTACACAACCACGGGAAGTGAAACAGACTTCACAGCGGTTTCTTCCCTGAAGGGCGTCTACATGACCAGCATACTCACAGAGGGTGGGTTAAACTGATGGCGTTTTGTTTTAACTGTATGTTTTTGTCATTTTATGGGACTGACCAGAAGAACAAATCACATATTTGGGAAGCAGAAGGAATAACATCCCCAATAGCTAGTGCTGCCAGCACCATATTCCAGGTGATGTGCAGTGTTCCTCAACATATATTATTTATCAAACCACAGCAGCTTTAGCCATGTTTGCTGGTTTATGGTGAAATTTGACCTAGGCATCTTCAGTGAATCTTCTTTATAGGGTACATGACCAATGATTGATGGCGGCTCTCCATGTTCTCCATGTTGGGGTGACAGTGGCATGTGGGCTGAAGATGTTTGCCCTGCAAACGGCGGGTTGTTGGCTTTCAGTGTTTTATCCATGGGCAAGACACTTCACCCGGATTGCCTACTGATGGAGCTCAAAGGGCCCGGGCCTGCATATGGCAGCCTCGTTTCTGTCAGCGAGCCCCAGGGCAGCTGTGGCTACAATGTAGTTTGCCACCATCTGTGTGTCAGTGAATGGGGGAATTACTAAATCACAAGCGTAACTTTCTGAAGGACTGGTGTGGACATGTCCCCACCAATAATTTCAATTAGTGTTGCGCCGATTCCATTTTTTGGCCCTGATACCCGATTCCTGGCTGTGCAGTAGTTGTCAGGTCTGAGGAAAGAACATATTGGTTCTCAGGTCTTAGCTATCAGGAAAAAAATGTGTTCTTCTTTTAAATTAAGTGAAATCTTGACCAACAGAAGAAATATTTGAGTTTTAAAAAGCCACATTATTGCACTAAAACATGCTTAAGGTTTTTTGAAGGGTTTGTAAACAGATTACAACACCGTGTTTCAACGAAGGCTGTTCCAGTTTCTGACTTTTTTTTCTTCTTCAATTTTCAACTTCTTTGAAGAATCCTTTGAATGGTGCCCATAAATATGTCTTGTCTGTGGATTTGCAGGCTGGGTCCAGAGTATCCTTCAAGGCCAATCATTGTCCATGATTCATTACAAAGCAGATCGATCATGCTCGGCCAGCAACGGTGAACAACTGTAATAAAAGATTCTGATGAAAAATACCTAAATGATGCTTTTCATGACCCAAAATAAACTTTTATGATTCTTCGATGCAAAAATGTGTAAAACTCAAATTTAAACAAGATTGTACTTAAAGCTACAGTGTGTGATAATTACAGGGATATACAGTCAGAAATGTAATATATTATACATAACTAT